GTAAGAAAAAATATACTTTCAACTGTAATTCGTTGAAGGTGGATTGATGAGGTTGGAGCATTTGATATATATTTTTTTCAAGTTTGTGTAATTTCAGCGAAATCTGCGCTAGATACTACATGATTTGTGATTGACTTATTGGATGCAGTTTTCAATATTATGAAAAATGGATTCAGCAAAGAAACATGATCTGCTTTATGAAGTAGGTTGTAATTTCACCTTAGGAGACAACACTAATATTAATGAATACCAAATATCTCGATCTAGTCTTTAAGCGAAATAAGTTTTTCCTGCTAAAGTTACGTATTTGAGTGTTAACATTGACATTTGATACTTGATAGCTATTCTTACTAATATAAATATTTAAATGTTCGGAATTCATTAATTACTCTACATCGTCAAAGATTATTAAATTACAGAAGGTGGTCTTATATTAATGAAGAATTATATTTTATGCCGGTGCAGAATGTTCTTCAAAGGAAAATCAAACCTCACTAATTACCTCATACACATCCTTACATACCCAACCCTCCCTCTTTACCCGGGCTTGTGACCAGCAGTAGCCTCAGAGAAGCTAGAGGCGGAGCTAGAATACATTTGCATCTAAGAAATTGTCAAAGCGTAATCCCCATCACTTTAGGTATACATCAATAGTCAAAAATTATTGTGATGAATATTTTATATGAGTATCTGTTACTTGTAATAAATTCCATTTATTTTTATCCTTTACCTCTGTTGGTTTGTCTGAGGGAGAATTTTGAAATGAAATTGAGTCATGAGATGTGCAATTCAGATGAAAAATCTTTCAAAGAGAAATACTGATAAACTTATTACTTGCATGATAACATTTCATTCTGTTTAATTTCTCCAGGAACATCGATTTTAGTTACTGTTAAAAAAGATTGGATTCTTTTAGGTTTGTTGAAGCATCAATTTGCTATTCTTCCACCCTATTTCTAATGTGACACAAATGAAAGGTGAATGCTTAATTAACCTTATGCACTGAGTCTACTAATTCTTCTACTTAACAGTAGACATTCTCTTCCGAACTAATTGGAAAAGAAAGTTGTCTACTTTCACTCTTCACTGCAATCATCATGAATTATGACTGTAACTTTTAATTTCCTTCAACATATAAATACAATGAGATGTGTAGAAATGTGATGCTGTTTAAGTGTATATCGACACTTAACAGAACAAAATTATCGATTGTGAAATGAATTTAGAAAGAGACAGAAGCGGCGAAATGTTTAGAAGTTAAAATATTCCTGTATTTGATTTGAGAACTGTGAAAGCGGTTGGCATTATCAACCAATTTCAACTTTAACCAATTTTGCTTATCTAAGCTGGTTTGGACAAGAGTGTTCAACTGATCATAGGGATTTTCGAATTGAGCATCTATCAATAGATCAGAAATCTTGACATGTGCAATGGAGTAATTAAATCCATGAGATGGGGCTTCTTCCTCAAATAATCACCAATGAACATGTTTGTGTGGATGCATAGACATAGGGAGGAGGAGGAGCAAAGGATCCATGCAATCAAGCATTATTTAACATGTGCCTACATGGCTTCAAAACCAATTAGTGTCAAATGGCCCGATCAACATTTGAGGTAGAAAATCATGTTCATCAATAGTGAAACATATAATTGAAACATGTCACAAAATTGACAATAATACAGCTTTTAAAACGTTGTATAGGAATTGTCAAGAATGAATTCTCAGGTTTATTAAAGCCTTGATTATTCGTAAATTTAAATCTCCGTTATGCGTAGAAGAACAGTTTGTCGTAATCTAGAATTTATTTTGGTAATCCTTGAATCAATGTTTGGCCCATGATAATGCGACAAATTGTTATTGTTTCTATATTATGTACAATGTTTCTCCTACCTTTGTTACCAGAATGAAATCTTTGATTGTGAAACAAATTTAGAAACAGAGTTAATCTTTATTTTAATCCATGATAAAGATTCAGAACATTTGATTGATGCAATCTATAATGAACAGTTGCTCAGGATCTTACTTCCAGACGTTTAACTATTTAAGAATCAACAAGTGAAAATCGAAATTTTCCTGTTATTCATGTAAACAAAACTTAGTAGTGTACATGATACCAAGATTTGTGTGAAACAGTAGTTTATTACGACGTCATTAGATATCACTAAAATGTCGATGTGATCAGTGAAATGAATAATGTTTTATAATTTCTTTTACATTACATTTAGAATAAACTCTACCCGCAGCCCCTCTGGTGCTACTGCCGGTCCCACGCCCGGATAAAGAAGGAGGGTTGGGCATTGGGTTAGTGACCCCATCCCATAGAAAACTAGCTCGCTAAAGAAACGTTAACCAGGAAAAATAATTCAAACCATTAAAACTCTGCCCTGGGTGTTAGAACGTCTTCATTTGGAAGAGTTATGACGCCTAATGGTGAAAGCCGAGTTCTCTCGGAAGTCACGAGTCCGACGCCGCTTCTGACAACCAGAGCAACCATTTGTTTAGGTACATGGAATTCTCGTATAATGTGGGTGACCAGGAGGGTCTTTCAAATTGCTGCAGAAATAGAGATACAACTTAGCGACCACACTATGAGGAGATGAGTCATACCATGGCAGTACCTTTGCAAACTGTTTCATCACTCATTTATTCGTTAAGACCTACTATGTACGAGAAATGAAAAGTCATAGATCGATTGGTAGATATTTAAATAAAAGATACTCGGGAAATGCAATATGAATCACACTGCAATGTATGATAAGCCAATATTACTGTTATGTGATTTGCAGATGTGAAGGTGCGAATCGGCAAAACAAGAGCAGCATATTTACAACTGAAAAACATACGGAACTCAAAACAACTGTCTGTCAACCAACACCAAAGTCAGAATTTTCAGTACAAAAGTCAAAACAGTTCTACTGTATGGGGCGGAAACTTGAAGAACTACGAAAGCCATCATCCAGAAGATACAAGTGTTTATTAACAGTTGTCTACGCAAAATACTTCGGATCCGTTGGTCAGACACTATCAGCAACAACCTACTATGGGAGAGAACAAACCAGATCACAGCAGAGGAAGAAATCAGGAGGAAGTTGTTGAAGTGGATGAGACGCACATTGAGAAAAGCACACAACTGCGTTACAATGCAAGCTCTCATATGGAATCCTGAAAGCCAGAAGAGAAGAGGAAGACCAAAGAACACATTGGGTCGAGAAATGGAGGTAGACATGAGAAAAATGCACAAAATTTGGACCGAACTGGAAAGGGAGTCCCAGTACAGAGTGGGTTGGAGATTGCTGGTCAGTGGCCTATGCTCCACTGGGAGTAAAAGGCGTAAGTAAATGATTTGCATAGTTTGGTTTTTCTAAAATCTTTATTCTGTAGTCATCCAATCTTCCTATTTTGGATTTTTTTTCCATAAATAAATCACTTAGCAAGTGAATTTGAGAACAGATTGTTCGAAACGTATTTCCTAAGAAGTCACATAGTTCTGAAATACTTCGTATTGCATTATCTAGATCGAAGCAAAGTTGCAAAAACATCTAGTAATTAATCACTTCTGACAGAAAATACTTCGTTTGATTCCATCCAGACTACAATGCATAGTAGCGTGCAAATATATTTACTTTGGAAAGAGATGACAAAGCGATATCACTAAAACTATTAAATATTTTATGTACTTTTAGTAGGATCATAGATTTAGACGTCAATTAAATCGGACGATATTGTCGATAGGCTCATCACTTTTATGGCCTTATATCTGACTGCAGTTCAACCGTTTCTGATTTCTATTGAAATATACATATCGTCAATCCTCGTATAGAATTATCGACTTAGATCGCGTTATTGAATAACGGAATTAAATAAGCCAAATACGAGAATGGATTTTCGAATATATATTTTATACACTCATTGATCTGGGAAGGCAATCAGAGGACTGAAGCGAAGGAAGCAAAGAGAAGAAAGCGAAGCGAAATGACGCGCAATGAAGAAAGTGTGTGTGCCAACTCGATTTAATTAAACGTTAATCAATATGTACAGCCAGATAAAAATAATTTACAGACATGTGATGAATAGGATAAGAAGTGTACACGCACATAAAAGGGTTAATAAGTGAATAATTAACAAGTTCAAATAGTGACTCTAGAAGAATGGATAAATTGACCTGTCCAGAAGCTAGGATAAGGTATATGAGCTTAACATAGAAGCCGACACTACATGTTCCTCAGTTAAAATGTACATAGAAACACTTTGATCTTAATTACTTTTCAGTTTCCCAAAGTCATTTGTATTTGTTGAAATAAAGTATTTAATACAGATTTAGTAAGATCTGATGTTACATTAAAAACCAGCAGATAACTTATAAATAACAGAATGTTTTGAAAGTTCTAGTTAAAAATCATCCTTGATTAAGTGATATGACGGGATGAAAAGTTCCAATTACATTCTTTTACTTATAAGAATTTTCTAGTCAACTCAGTGTAATATTTGTTTCTGTTTTCCAGTGTGATATTTCATTCTATATAACATACGATATTCTTGTATTCAGTTGACATGAACTCTGTTCAGCATGATATGTAGCATGTGATTTGTTATAACCCTAAGTGATTTCATTCTAATTATCAATCAAAATGAATGGATATCAGCTATATCTGATGACATTGTTTTTCCAACAACAACAACAACAAAAAAAAAAGCCAACAAACAAATGAAAAATAGTTTTAGTCAATTCCTATTTTAGCCCAAAATGAAACTATCAGGAAGACAGTGAACAATAATAGGGCTCTTCAATATTTTATCATTTCAATAACATGAATTGTTTTTAGTACAATAATTTATTATATTAAAAAGAATTAATTAATTTACTTATTTTATTAACCAATCAGATATTTATTGTAGTTCACTCTTAAAAATGATTGGTTAATTTAATTTTTATCATTAAATATTTAATGTTATTAAATCACTTGATTTAGTGTTACTTACAAAATATTGTGCATTGCAAGAACCTTAAATAATCCAATCTATGTAAGTTCTATCAAATAAAAATGTTGATATTTTGCATAAACTATTAAATTAATGGTATATTAGGTTAAAACCAAAGTGTTTAGCTTTCTAAATACACTTGATAAACTGATTTCTTAAGATCTTTATTTAACTTTATGAATGATAAGAAATGTTGAAAAGTTAGTGAATACTCACTTCATACAAAACAGTCAATTATTCAGAGTTCTTTGTTAAAAGCCATTAACTTTTATGCATTATACTATGAATAGTTGCCTAAATAACATGAATGGATAGAAGTATTTACCTGTAAAATTAAGTTTTGTTCAAAGTAAAGCATTTAATCTAACTGGTAATGAATAAAATTCCGTCTTCAAATTTTATTCTTTCTTATTTTTCAACTGGTTTTGTATTAGAGTCCATAATTTATTAATTAAGTTGTGTTACACTGTTGTGTCATGACATATCATTTGTTATCAATTTAGTCATCAATATGGGGTTGTGGAGATCATTAAGCTCCTGACTGAAATTATGAACCGATTGATGTTAGACTACCATTGAAAACCTGGAAGAACTGGACGCCGTTCCGTCCCATTATGGGACTCAGCAGTGCGCATCTAAGATCCCGTTTGCGGAATTCGAACCCAGGACCCTCGATCTTACTCACGAACTCTTAACATCTAAACCAGTGAGCTGGCTTCCATTGGTGTTAATGTCTAACCTCAACCAATCCACGACATTGTGCGATCATCTCCCATTGTACTGAAGTAGATGACTGTCTCTACCCGACACGGAGTTCTAGTGAAAAACGGTAACCGAAATTGTCATGGAGTATGTGAATACAATTATTAGTTCTACATTATTGATGGTGACTTAATAAAACAAGCTCTTGTAGCATGAAGAAGTAAGTTGGTTGTTTCACCGTAATATCAGAATAATACACCAGGACATTTACCAGTTTACTGATCGTTCGTGAAATCCAGTACTCATCAACTATCATTTGTTTTGTTTATTCATAACATAATTCAACCAAACCAGTAAAATGTAGTCAGGTTCTAAAAAGCAAACATTGTTGGTTCATTATTTATGGTTAAGGATGTTATTCACCTCTCTATTGATCAAATGAAATGTGTTTCTCATGTGATTCAAGTACCTATGTGATAGTCTTCTTTACCTCTCTTGTTTTAATTCAGTTAGATACATGAGTAAAAATATTAACCACTTTAAATGGTACTTTGTGCTATACTGCCTGATATATTTTATGTACTGGAAGAAGATAATATAAGCCGTAAGATTCAAGTTGAGTTGTTTAAAATTATCCTACTGGCTGCAGTAATTGAAGATCTGTGATCTGATTTTCTCTAAGGTCATCGATTTGCATAGATGAGAATTGTATAAAACTTAATAAACCTACCTTAACTTTGACACTTCTTCTGTTCATTATGACTATGAAACTGGTAACCATCCTAATCATCAGACAGAAGGGAGTCTTATCAAAGGAAAACTTAACCATCCAACCCTTTGGGAATATTTAATGTCTGAATTAGTTATTGCTATTCATAGAAGCGTTCCTATTGTTATAAATCTGATTGAAGATTGCCATCCAAGCTTTAAGACTATTGTACAAGTTATATTACATATATTGTAGCCGTGTGAACTTTCTAGTGAATATAAATATGTTATTTCATTTCTATCACCATGACCTATCAAACAATAAGCTCCAACAAGTAAGGTAAAAGGAATCTTAGCCATCGACTGACAAAAGTCGAGCACGACTATAAAAAGCAGTGACATTTCTGAGATTTAAAATTGATTTGATGATTTATTAGGGTCATTGGAAGGTTCTAAAATTCTCAGTACAAAATACATATGGCTGAAAGTATTTACACATTGTATAGGTTGACGTTGGTTTTCATCAAGATAATCATAGAAAACCGATGATTATTAAATGAACGTTTCTTTCCAACTTGTAAATCTCCAGCAGCTTGAACTTGCAATCTTATGACCTAGTCCCACGGCTAATGTGGTATGTAAATACTGCTTCATTGAAATATAGCGGTCCATATTTCTGGCATTGTTCTAATCACAGCATACATCGACTAGCACTCAATATCACTAAAGACACCTGTTCTCATCTTTCTATGAAACTGTTAGTTTAAAAATTCATGGGTTTGATTAACATAATTTTAGATGATAGATGATGGTCAACTGAATATATTTGGTAAACAGTTAAGTATGTCGATAAACATAAATTTGTAATACATTATATTAATTAGAGAAGTTAGAAATATAACATCGCTGGATGCCGGCTCAGTGTTCTAGAGGTTAAGCGTTCGCGCTTGAGACCAAAGTACCTGAGTTCGATGGATGCGCACTGCTGAGGGGTCCCATAATAGGACGAAACGGCCATCCAGTGCTTCCAGGTTCTCAATGGTGGTATAACATCAATCTGTTCATGATCTCAATCAAAACCTTAATGAACTCCACAACCCTAGAGTAAGGAATATAATTAATGAATAAAATGCTGGTCGCGTATTATTGAAGTTTGTATGTAACTTAAATAGATATTTAAATCCATTTTAATCCATACTGTTACTGCAACTTGAAAATTATTATACAATAAAAAAATATAAAAAATTGTCCATTTTCCTTTCATAGTTGTTTATTTACTTACCATTTGTCCTTTATGCATTAAATACAGTAAATGAATAATTTTTCAAATAGAATTTCGATTAAAATCTTTATTGTTGTTTTTATTCTCTTTAAACTATTCACTGGTGTACGTTGATAATTTCAAATAATACGTGATTGAATAACAGTAAATATGAATTGATTTAAAACGTGACTAGAATTATTCATTCTGTATGGCGGCCTGATTGAATATTTGCGTTACCTGTTCCTGTCCTTTAAATATTTCAATAACTTATCTGGGTTTATGTTTATTAATCGAATCGTGGTGGCAGGCAGGCAATATGCATTGAAAAGAATGAATATTATTCAGATGTTGATTCCTGACCTGCTAAAATCTAACTGGCGATTACTCAGTCATGTGAATAAAATCCATAGCAGGAGAATTTCATCTTGTCAGTCGAAGTAATCTTAGCAATAGTAATGACATAATAATAACAATATCGTTGTGAGAATATAATATATAATAAGAGAGATTTCATCAAGGTAATTATGATAAAAACGAATTCATATGAATCGGGGGAAATCAATGTGAAGATCAAAAACAATATAAACACAAGAAGAATTAGAAGATGGAAAAAGAGGTTTATAGTATCCAGTTTAGGTATCCGGTGATCCAGTCGAGGGCCATGAGGGGCTAGATACACCTCTTCCGAATACATGAGTTCGGTTTTCTGGAGTTGGTCCATATGGCTTCAGCTATATAGCGTTGCCGCAATCTATAGGTAGATTCATTAAAGCTTGATATAAAACAGAGAAAGCTTCCTCTGTTTTAATATGATTTTCACTATCTCCCAAGTTAGAAAGAATGGGGATGTTAATTAGTTTAGTGATTTCTTTTCCTAACCATTCTAGTACATCTTTGTGAACACGCAAAGATAAAGCCCTCTAAGTACGGCCTATGTAATTAGCTCCGCAGTAGCAGTTGAACTGGTATACACACATGGAGGAGCCCATCATCAGTGACCTATCTTTAATTTGTTGTGTAAGTACTGGTTTGATCAAAAAAATTACATGTAAATTGGTGGTGTGAAATGTCTTTTCAACAGATCTTTTGAGTCGACGAGTTAAAATGTTACTCGCTATGTCCCCTTTAAAATCCAGTTTCAGATAAATAGTTATTTTACTTACCATGCCATAGTTTCTTCCTATTCATTACCTTCTAATAGAAATTTTCGGAACAAATTATCCAGATAGCCGTTATTTCGTGAAGTTTTCTTTAGCTTACCTATTTCGTTATCTACACTATCTTCAGAACATAATAGTTAAATTCTGTGACTGAGACATTTAGCCCATTTTATTTTGCATTGAAGATTTGTAAAGCTACAGAAATAGTATATTGACGTGTCCATATATTCTTTTTAAATACATTTTTTGGAACTATCTATCTTTCTAGAAAGTAGGATATCCAGGAAAGCTATACTATTGTCGTTCCCCTCTTCACGGGTGAATTTAATAGCTAGATGGACATTATTGAAACAGTTCAACAGCTCTTGTTTATCGATACTAACTGACTAATTAAAATATGAGATGGGATTTTGGAATCTCACTAGTTTTATTTAATTATAAAACACTGAAGTGCATAAAGATTTGTGGAATGTATATTATTTGTCTGTTCTTGCTAGAACACATATTACATCATACTATATTGAACCCTATTATTCAATATAGAGCAAATTAATAACATAAATTCCACAATAAATCTCATTGTGTCATATTGAAATGTAAATCAATGACGTTGCAAAATTCAATCTCATATTCCTTTACTAGTTATTTTGTTAGGAAATCAATAAAAAAAATGAAGAGAAAAGTAAAAAGAAAAGAAACATTACCCGGTAACTTATTCTCATTTAAGACACATATCATGATTGAAACATTGAAATTATTTTCTTTTCTATTAAATAATCATTGTCATATTAAATAAACAAATTGCATAAGTTTTAATTCTCAAAAAACCAAATACATCGAACAATTATTATCATTCTAAATGCGTTTTTTTGTGTATGGAATTAAATGGTTTGCATTAGTTTACACTATATATCAACTGTTTCTTTAATTATACATAATAAACAACACATGACATTAGTTATGTATGCAATTCTAAGAAGAAATACATCACTGACAAAATGTTAGACATTAAAATGATGTATTTAATTTGATAAAAAGAAATATCTTTTCATTCTGAGTAGTATGTGACTTTAATTCAACTGTGAAAAAGAATGAGATTATTCTTCTTCATAAAGAAAAGTGTCATGAATAGAGATAAGGTTGAACTAGTTTCACGGTCGACCAATATAAGATTGATTTAACGTGAAATAAATACACAAGAGAAGGAAATAGAATCTATGTATCTAAATTCATATGACTTTTTATGAAGATAAAGATTGTCTTTGATAAAATCCAAGAAAGATGACCATTTCAGAAATGGCCAAGTTAATGATTTTCACTGACACTGACATCGAAGTTTAAACGAGATATATAAGGAATTAGACCTTCTCATAAATTTTTGTCAGACAATTTTTATATAATAAAACAGTTGATTCCTTTGATTATTACCAACTTGGAACAAATAATTTCTCCATATAGTACCAAAAATAGAGAAGTATAGAAGTCTTCTTGGATTCATGACCCATATTCTATGGTAGAAAAACGATTTATGAAGAGTTTGATCTAACTACAGTTTCTATTGTTAACTTTTTTGATTCAAAAATAAGAAAGTACTAACATATGTTCATCTTTGGGAACAATCGTTCTCATATCAATATGTTCCTGGATTTTCTGTCAACTGATCTGACGACTTTATATTCCTATGCTGTCTAAAGTCATAGGTAAGAACTGATTTAAAGACTTTAAACAAAAATTCTGGGAGGATAGATCAATTCACAACAGAATGAATTTTCTAGTTTCGAAAATCACTTTCATGACATGGATTATTACTTATGTACTCATTTTAATTAACTGTCTGGAATAATACAAAGGCACTTATATGGATAAAACTATAAAATAAGATTTTAATAGTTGAGATCATGAGCCAATTGAAGTTAGACCACCATGGAAAACTTGGAATCACTGGAGTCCCACAATAGAACGAAACAGCCCTTCAGTGCTTCCACGTTTTCCATGATTGTCTAGCTTCCATTGACTTATGATCTTAACTACTAAAATTACTATCATATCTACAATAACCACTTCTGATATTAATAAAGGAAAAGCTTTTCCGCTGTGTGAATGTAATGAAATCAATATGTATGTAATTATTTTGATAAAATGTTTAATAAATTAATTGTTTTTTACTATTCCAATAGATAATGACTTATCATTGGCTGATTAGTATACAAATCTCATTGTTATTTGTTAACTGCTTATGTAATGGATCAGGTTAGTGAATACTTGGATATTTCAAATTAGTTTTCTACTTAATTAATAATAGTTTTCCAGATAAATTGGGTAATATTTTTATACGTCTGTATCTAATTGTAATAGAGATAACAGAATTAGAAGAGACTAATTATAATTCGGTACACGCGTTGAAACTATTCTCATAGACAAATTGCATATCCGAATTACAACCCTTAGGTTATTTTTCTAATAAATTCTACTGAGATAGTGGAGAAGGTTTGTAGTTTAGATGGATGTTTTTAAATGGAGTTTTGTTCTCTGAGCTGTTTGGTTTGGTCGTATAGCTTTTATTGTTATTCTGAACGACATCATCAGCACAAACTTCAGGTAGAATTTGATGATGTCATCCAGAATAATGATGAAATCTTCACAATGAAACCATATAACTCAAACGACAAAACTCCATCAAAAATAAATCCTACCGTTTTCAATCAAGCATATTATTTCCAGATGATATAAAATCCCATCACATGATTAACCAAGTATCAGTTATCATTTTATTTAACGCATCAGCTTTCGTTAGTTAGAAAAAATAATATCGCCTATAGAATTAGACAATAATCATTGAGGATTTTTAGGTGAATGAATCCTGAAATATGGACCATCATCAATCATTTGACTTATTCATATTTCTAGCACGATTCGTGAATTTCAAAGTAGCTAAAATAATCTATCCATAACTTGTCTATTTCAAATGGACTTTTAAGCTCACACTAATCCGTAGTGAAATATTACTGTTATAGGAATATTTTGAAAAAAGTAAACAGACTAATCATCAAAGGTACTATTGAAACATCTCAACTTCAATATAAATAAACTAATAATTTAGTTATGAGGAAAGATTTACTGAGATTGTTATTGGAATGTCCCTAAATGCCTTAATAATGGCCAAAAGTGGGAAGAGACAGCTCTCCCTCTTGAAACGCTCTCACATTTCCACTCGTATACAGCCACCGTCAAGAAAGTTTTGCTCAGTGCCTTGCGACGGGGGTGTTGTTAACGAAATTGAGAGGGCGAAAAGCGAATGTCCAGGGCTTTAACCAGGTTGATGAATATAGAGGATCCACCTAGGGGATTTGGAAAACTCTGAATCCAAAACAACCAGGATCCTGAAAGAATAAATGGCATATGAATCAGTTATTCGTCATCGGTTACCGTGGGACTGCATCTGCTGACGTTGCTCCACTGCCTTGTAGACCAGACCTTCAGGTCGAAGGCTCCGATTGATGTGGCTAATATCTATTTGGTTCCTCCTTGTACCAATATCTGTGTGTTCAAATAAACAAAATAAACGAATATTACTGTAATAATTTAGCAAAATATTCACATTTTAACTTATCCTTAGAGACTTTTGTGTGACACAAGTAATTTTATGATATAGAAATGAAAACTAATAGAATTGTTTTCTAATTATTTACATTGAATGAATGAGATTAATCATGACAGTATGCTAATCACTAAACATCAAATTGTTGGAATAATGTTTTAGGTGTTTTTAAAAAATTATGTTTTCAATTACCGCCTAGTTTTATTATGAACATTATTTGACAATTGACTTTATTTTTCATTACACATTTTCTACTCACTGAGAATAAAACTAATTCAGAGTTAATACATGAAAGAGGTAGTGTTAAACATCATCTCCACATTAATTAAAGTTTTAATCAGTTTAAATGATTAATCTGTGAATACAATTATGATAAATGTTAGTTGTAGATTTCTTTAAACAGTGAGTGAAAACTTAAAGGGGCGTCCTCATTCTTCATTCATCCTCTTTATTTCACACCATTTAAATCAATTATGGTTTGTGTTAGTTACCAATATTCAGTTAATTTCTGGTTATTTATTAACATTGTAATTGCAAGAAAATGCTAAAAGAAATCATGACGAATTTCAATATAATCATGATGCTTACTAATCAAAGTTGAATCAATTTAGTGGTAAACAATTAACAGTATTATCAGCAACATACTATTTGAATGTGTATGGGGCGAGTGAAATGAGTCAAAGTAAGGTTCGTTATAAATAGTGAATTACTGACGGTAATAGTGGAAATAAGAAAAAAATATGAATTGGATTAAATGAAAAAAATGTTACGTCTAGCTAACGCTTATTTAATAGTAAGAGGTCACTTTTGTACTGGTTTAATGAACCAAAGCGGCTAGCAGGAAAATAAAGTAATAGAGTGAGTGAAATAATAGAAAATTCGAAGGGAAAAAAGTATTCTTTAGGAAAACACTCTCTAATGTTCATATCCCTATACTATTTTGTTTCATTATCTGGCATATGAAGTTCATATAACTTTTTAATCATTAAAAATGTTATTTTTTCACTTGTTGTAAATCTTTTTTTGGGGGGGGGTGGCGGAAAAATTTCTTACAGAATGGTCTTATTCAAATATATTAACTGGACCGGAAACATGGAATCACCACTATAGAAATATGTGTTCAGGTTATTATCAATCACCAATTGATTTGAAATCAGATATATCTATACTTGATTTACGATTAAAAACTGTGGTAATTTATCGAAACACATCAGTTGCTGAGACCACTACAATTACAAATAATGGTCACTCAGGTGAGTTCATGCTTTTTTTCATTTTTCTATTAAATTACACTTTTGTTTTATCACTTACAACATATTAATAGAATAAAATAAACTTCCTGTCTATATATACACATTTTTCTTTACTATTTATAAGTTTGCACATCCTTTATATTATATCATCGTTTGAAGGATTCATGATTTTTAGATTGATTACAGCTAAAGATAGTAATAATTCAATTTTAGTGAACCGAGATCTGCCTCCAGTTGTATCGTATGACTGCTATGGTTATGTGTCGTCAATCCTCGTATAGAATTATTGACTTAATCCACATTAGTGTATAACGGAATTTAATAAGCCAAATACGAGTATGGATTTTCGAATACATATATTTTGTACACTCATTGATCTGGGAAGGCAATCAGAGGACTGAAGCGAAGGAAGCGAAGAGAATAGAGCGGAGCGAAATGACGCTCAATGAAGAAAGTGTGTGTGCCAACTCCATTTAATCAAGCGGTAATCAATACTTATAGCAACACAAAAATAAACTACAGACATGTGATAAGTATGACAAGATGTAAACACATACGCTCATATAAAAGCATTCAGGGTTAATAAATGAATAATTAACAAGATTAAAACGTGTTTCTAGAAGAATGGATAGATTGATCTGTCCAGAAGCTTGAATAAGGTATATGGGCTAAACATAGTAACGGACACAACAATACTTCATACTTTGATGGCAAAATGTGTTAGTTATACCTTGAATTATGTTTTCAAATCGACTACATTTCTCGCAAAATAAAGAATAAATTGTTCCTTAGACAATAATACTTCATCAAAAAAAGAAAAAAATCGTATTTGTTTTATTCCCTTAGTAGTTTACAAACACATTGTGTTTTTTTTACTTGGAAAATAAAGAATCTATCCATCGGATGACAAAACACTTATACGCAAGAAATATAAAAATAGATTCCATAAATATTGAAATGGATCTGACATGAAAATAAACTGGTCAATGTTTTCCGCTTCATTAACATATCTACAAAATTTGCTTAAAATGCAAATCCGAAATAATGATATCTCAATCAGTCTTACATTCCATTTATGGAAAGCCGACTAATTGTACATCCTTGATTCAAATTCATTAACATATTGGAGCATTTTATGGACATGACATGGTTTTCAAGAAAATGATTTAGCTAACTCGTAAGAATTAACGTGGCCTATTAATCTCATTGATTTTAACAGCCAAATATATGCAACTATCATACAATGAAATGACATTGTCATTTATTTAAATATAACAATCCATTAATTAAATGTTTAAATGAACACAAACTTTAATGGCTGACACTAGCATTTAATGTTTCATTTGAAAAAGATTTTCAGTTCTAAATTGAACTGAAAGTACTTCATGTTCTAGAATACAACACATGTATAATGAAGCCCAATGCTTTTCTCCTGATAGATATATGCATTGACTGATAGATAGTGGTTTTAAATCAGACTAATAGTGTAGCTAAACAAGTTTCCACAAAGGACAAAACTACAGATATATCAAGCTATATTTACCCTAGTTCTGAAGATTAGTATAGTTTCTGAATAAAAACATCTTGCTTTCAGTATACACCTATTGTTTATTGGTAACCATCGGAATACTCTAATATTATTAAATATATATTTTTTCTTTCAGAAAATCAGATATAGATTCATGATATAACATTTTCAATGGTTGAGATCATGAGCCAATTAAAGCTAGACCACTATAGGAAACCTGGAAGCACTGGACCGCCGTTTTGCTCTAGTGTAGGACTCCTCAGCAGTACGTATTCACAACCCCACCCCGTGGGAATTGAACCCACGACCTATCAGTCTCGCGCACGAGCGCTTAACCACTTGACCACTGAGATAGCTGGCATCCAACGGTATTAATGTCTAACTTGAACTAATCCGTGAAATTGAGCAACACATCCACCATTGTCATCACTGAGTTACTATCTAACATTTTCATAAATCCAATTATAGTGATAATAGGTTAATGATTTACTATTTCTATATAATGATAAAAAAAAGATATATTCGGTCACTTAATGAAATGATATTGAATTTGTATACATAGAACCGATAAACTTATTTGTCTGGTGATTTATAAGAAATAGAATCAACACCAATTAGGTTGTTTGGTTGTATTAACTCAATTGCGTAGTATTCATTAATACATTTAATGCTAGACAACATAGAATTTATTGAGTAAGTTTTGTGACTTATACAATGTTTTATGTATCATATATTTGTCTTACTAATTTAGCTGATGTTACATTTTCACAAAACACTTGGTTTATATCATTTGATGGCTTACGTGACTATAAATATGAAATTGCAAAAATGCATTTTCACTGGGGTAATACTGATGATCGTGGATCTGAGCATACTATTGATGGAATTAGATTTCCTTTAGAAGTAAGTCTGTATGTAAATTATTGTCATTTGATTTTTACTTTCTTTTTTACATAAAGCAAGAGTGAAGAGAGCACATTATAGATGTTTTGAAATTGCTAATTGCTGATAAACGATTTTAGATGTGATCATATATTTCTAAGAACCAGATTGATAATTGTTCATGAAGATCTAATGAGTCAAATGAATTTAAAAGTATATTCCTCTGTGCAAAATGACACAATTATGTGCAACAGCTTAATCGCAAAACAAATCCGATCAAAGTCTATTGACAATATAAACAAATAAAGGTTATAAGTAATTAGGTTTCTTCACCAGCGAATAAACGTAAAATAATGGCAACTAGCCTTCATTCTTATCAGTCATGATTAAATAGACTGTTTTTATTCTTAACACTAATTGTAGGGACATATTGTATCGTTTCGAAGAGAGCTGTATTCTTCACTCGAGGAAGCTATCGGTCGACCAGGTGGACTTGCTGTTCTTGGTATCATGCATAATATTGTTGAATCAATAAAGTCTGACCAAACAGTGTTCAAGGCATATAACAATTTTTCTGGTGTATTGAATCCACAATTCGCTCCTCCAAATGCTTTGACAGTTGATAATATGAATTTATCACTAATTTTAAGCTTCTTGAATCCTAGTCGTTATTTTCGCTATTTTGGTTCATTGACAACTCCACCATGCACAGAAAATGTTCTTTGGACTGTTTTTACGGATCAAGTGCCAATTACACGTGAACAGGTAATCATAATTCTACGTTAACCAAATAAGTTCGAGTTTCTCTGTTTTCAAGTGAACCAGACAATACTTAATTCAAATTCAGTACATTGAAATAGATGTAATATTATGTTTTTTGCCATAAATTTATTGACATAAATTAATCAATAACTAATTAGTAACGTCATCCTGTTAATCTAGACTCTTTCAAACAAGTTTCAATGTACTCACTAGTCTGATTCACTCAACATTAGTCTGTTTTTTCTATGCTGTTCAAGGTTGACAGTAACCGATGGAGGTACTGGAATACTTATTTTGTGATAGTTGATGCTGATTATCTAAGTTTATTCAAAATCATCTGAGAATCAGTGTAGTGATCTGTAATTTTTACGTGTTTGGATTTCAGTAAACTAGTACGTTGCGCTTTGAATCACGAATATGTTCACCTTATTTTGAAACAATGCCTGCGAAGCAGAAACATCCCACCAACAATTATATACTGAGAAAGAGTAACCGTCACCTAGTACGTTGACTTACTTCAAACAAATTAGTCTAGATGAATAATTAAACGCACAACAAATTAAACTTCACTTCGTAAACAAACATATACAAAGAATATAGAAAACATTCAACAAATATTTTTTTATAATCAGGCAAGGGTTTTGTGGAGATTGTAGTAATTTAGCAATTGAATTCATTAGTCCATTGAAGCTAGACCACCATGGAAAACCTGGAAGCAATGGATGGCCGTTTCATCTTAGTATGGAACCCCTCCGCAGTGCGCATCCACAATTCCGCCCCGCGGGGTTCGAACCCAGGACCTATCAGTCTCGCACTGCTGAGGAGTCCTGTACTAGGATAAAACGGCCATCCAGTGCTTCCAGGTTTTTTATGGTGGTCTAGCTTCAATTAACTCATGAATTCAATTATTGAAATATTCTGTTGTTCAGTTTGCAAGAATATCAGTGTTCCGTAACACATGGTGAAATCCTTACGAGAGTGGAGATTCCTATGAAGTATCAAATAAATTATATTTCATGACTGATAAAAATACAAGACCCGTTTCCACTGTTCTAGAAAATTAATTTTCAGTTTTCAGCAACAAAAAATGCAATTAGATTTATGAATGCTTCAACGTTATAAATATAATTAAATCTATGAGATTCATTATATTGCGATCACTCAATCAATCATTTCATTCCAAAAATGCAGTGAATACGTTCCATGCAAAGAACATTAAAATCTTAGTAATTTAAAGATCTTCAAATGATGTTCAGAAACACGGAACACTAAAATGGATGATAATTTCCGGTCACTTCTTTCTTAGATTCAACAGTAATATAATTTAAAATTATGAAATAAAATACAAAATATTAAAGTTTAATTAATTCTTATATTATAAATTGAAAATATCAATTTCTTATAGAAAGAAAACGATCATTTGCCCTAATACCGTTTATTTTATTCGTTAAATCATGTTTTTGTTCTACCATTACCGACATTATTAACGTCACTTACAATCTACTCTCTTGAATAGACTGATTCTTACAGTTAACGGTAGAATAAAGTTTGCCTTATGCATTAGCAAATCTTAAACAATCTAAGTATTGACATAAATGTGTAACAGTTCATATATTCACATTTGATGTCCGGTTATTAAGAGAGTATAAACATGATGACAGTTAAAAGAATTAATATAGCAGTATGAGCAAAGATAGATGGTGGTGGGCAGTGAAACTCAGGGTGCGCGTTTCATACTATCTGGCACTCATCAACTGGATATGCCAGCATCACAGAGTTGTTGTTTACTTCGACTCTTGAACCTAGTATTAGGACTCAGTATCTAAGTGAATAAAACGATGGCGTTTGAAGCGAATGGTACTGGGTTTGAGTCCCGGAGTAAACATTAACTATCGGGTGCAAGTACTCCCAGTTAATGAGTCCCAGATAAGGATTAAACACGCGTCCTAGCTTCCACTGCCATCCACCATCCATTTCTGCTTATAATGCTTATGATTTAAGGCAATATGGGGGCAATCCGAACAGGATGAACATATACTAATAAGAGACTGATCAATCACAGTCTTGAACATCAATGGGAAGATTCAAATAAACAGTACAATATAAATTTAATATAGTAGTGTTATTAATTATATTAGAAAATTAAGCAGAGTTGATTCAGTTGAGAAACCGTAAATAAAATGGAAAAAGTTCAAAGTATGATATGATTATAAAGCATGTGAAAAAGATAAAAACTAAATAAATACATGCCATTTTATTTATCCTTGAGTCATATCATTTAAAGCTTTCATCTGCTAATATCTGCAATTGTATAAAGTCTAATTAGGAAGTCTGCAGTTCCCAATTCGTCTTAGTCACTAGCCTCATAGACTAATTATAACCAAATCACAACTTATACATGTGTTGTTTATTATTTAATTATTAAAGGGATTTACACCTTATTCTTGGCTAAACGTGTAAATAAACTTCTCAACATGTTTTATTACATTAGTATTTATTAGTCTTTGAATAATATTTGTATTATACTGTATATGAATTTTTCCAGGTTAATCTATTTCGTAGTTTACCTTATGGTCCAAATGAAAAACAAACTACTATGGGTGATAATTTTCGTCCTATTCAACCATTAAATCCAGCAGATACACTTGCACCACGTTCTCTATATCGAGCTACAGCATCAAGTCTTTCATTATTATCTTTACCAGGTTTATTATGTATCATGTTGACCAGTCAACTTACTGTGATATTTTCTTAATTCATTTAATTCAAAACTATTTATGTCTGAAATATTTAGCTTCTTCTAGACCCAAATTATTGCGCTTTCATTCTTTGAATTAAAAACAAAAAGAGGATACTTACCCATACTACTTTATAGAGTAAATTTTCTTGTTTTATTTTTCTTCTTTGTTTTTTTACTTCAAATTTCTCATATTTTGTATATAACTTAGTTGGTGTGTTATATTTGGTTTGATTTCACATCATAATGTTTATTTTATTAGATTAATATGATTATGCAATATGTATCTGTAAGAGTTCCTTGATCAATAGCCTCATTACTTACTGTCTACTATTTCTAGATCTTAATTAGTTGGTTACTATTTTCCTCTTCAAGATTCATGATGAAGTGGAAAAAAAAAATTATGTATTCATGATTCATTCATTGTAGTTAATTATCAGTGAATAATAAAAAAGAAATGACATTTCATCTAATGACTTTATTCTGTTGGGATTTTGTAATTCTCTTTTATTTTCACCTCAAATTTGGTTACGAAGCATGATGTAAGCCAATACAATAGGTAGGAGGAAAGTATATTTATTGTGAGAAGTTACAATGTATTTACTTAATAATTATACATAGCCTTCATTCGTCCATTAGCATCTTTCGGTATGTTCTGCAACCTGAAATGTCTTCTCGAGTGATCTCGAATTATCTGACAATATTGGGCTTTCAATGCACTGAAACATTTCACTCTATCTGAGAAGTATTATCAACTTTGATGTCATGTTCCGCTACACACTACTTCATAGCAATCTTGTGAGTAGCATTCACTACAATACAATTAAAGATATAAAATGCAACAAATTTACTGAGAGCGTATAAAGTACCAATTCTCTAAATGAAGATCATATTTCTTGAGTTTGAAAAGCTGTACTGTTATAATTTTAGTCTCCTTACTGGTAGTGTACACATAAGGCTTAAAATCGGACTTACTCAAGAACCTTCCAATTAAGTGGTAATAATGGTACTTCTATACCGATTCGTTCAAATCTAGTTTGTACGATTTCCGAATTCACTTGATTTTTTATGTAAATGTGATAGCTTACTACTTTTCAAGATCATCCCTATGGCAAATCCAAGACTCTTGAGTGAAGTTGTGGGTGTGGATCATTGAATTTCACCTTGAGGATTTGGAAATATTTTGATCTCCAAGACACTTAAAGGACTCTAGATGGATGCTTACTTGTACAGAAAAAAGCCATACTAGGAGAATAAAAATATGTAATTATCTTTGATTTCATATAGTTTTTCAGTAAATTTCAAACAATTAAACAAAGTCAACTTCACACTTTTCTGATATTCGTCATCGTATGATAGGTTGAGAAGTTGTAAAAAACGTACAGTTGTAGACGAGCGCAATAAATAACTTCATCGCTGACGGTAGACCTCAAGTACAAAAACTCTCACTTTGCAAAAGTTTTTAATAAGTGTTTCGGAGAACAAGGTTTTGAACATGCTCACTATACTGAGGTGAACTCAATGTTATCATTTCTTTATGTAAATATTTTTATCCCAGGTTTTACCGATGACTCCATTTTATGCTCAATGGGCATATGATTCTCGTTTCATTTTATGTCAAGAAATGGTCCTTTCTGTATTTCAGCCAAAACTTTAAGTGTCATCAAGAAATGAAATTATAGCCAATACACATCAATGGTTCTTTATAAAGTGTTACCTATGAGTCTGAGATTGATCATACTAATTTAAGACCACCTAATAAGAATCAATCAACCCGCAGTTATAAATTCATTTATTTCGCAATCGCCTATGCAATCAGTGTTACGTGATTTAAGTATTTCACTTAAAGTTTACTGTTCTTACGATTTATCTGAAGTATCATAGCTAGAGATTGATTTATAAAACCGCTTGTAGAATATAAAACCTTTATATCAACATATAAAGGTTATGAAGAAACAATAAGCGTTTCAAAGCGACACACAGTGAACACATGAACTATGAGATAAGCATAAGAACCACTGGAAGACGCTGTGTGTTGATCAACCATTTTATTTAAGTATGTGTCTTCTTAATGGTAGCATTCATCCGCGATTCCTAAGACGTTGGCTGAGATTCTAATTTCTGACTACTTCGGGATCTCATTTGAATCAAAATCAACATATAATTGATGTGTCGCTTATTGCTACTGAAGAACGAGTTAACCTGTTGTTGTGTCACTATTCAAATCATCCAATAAATTCAAGGTCATTTACAGAAGACAAGTTTAATTTACTCAGTATATTTTCGAGTTAATCAAGTAGCATTGGTAGGATGGTACATACATTTTCCATGTAATACATACGAGTTTCATTGGATCACAATTACAGAAATAAAAAATATTTCACAGGAATGTTCTGTATTATCCGCGTATATAGAGCTATTATGTTGAAAAGAAAAAGTCGCAACAAAAACAGTCAACTATCAAAAAACATTTTTCCTTAATTTTAAATGTACTTGTTACGTACAATATCTTTTTCCATTTGTAAATTGGTATCTAATTATATTGAGATATGCATGAAATATTTCAGTAACAGATGCTTTGTGAGAGTTGTTAAAGAATACATTACTTCTATAGTAGTATTCCTTGATGTGAGAAGACAGAGTAGTCACCGCAACCCTTAAACACGGATTTCATGCTAGTTTTGTACTAATCAGTAAATTTTGTCTGAAATTTTAGAAAAAAGATGCTCCTGTACTAATAGAAAGCTAATTCCCTCAGTATCATTGTCACTAAGTATAACACTCAACGATTACAACTAATTAACCATGAAGTCGTAATTAACGTCACGTCTAATGACCAGTGTTGTTTGTATTTTCACACTGAACTAGTCTCCACTTTATTGAATACTGAATTTCATTTGATCATACTACCAAGGAAAGTTCGTAAGTACTCGAGTACTGAATAATAAGTTTATAGGGTGAGAATTAAGTCAACCAGTAATATATGAAGGAGATAAATCTTTTAGTTAACATTTGTAAACACTATGGAGAACGATACCACAATAATCAAAGAGTACAACCACATACGAAATCTCACTATACACCATAGTTACGATAGTCCGACATTAGAGCATTACCAGTTTGCAGCAAACAAAACTGCTTTTCCTTAGAAGTAGTCGAAGCCTACGTAAATGAGTCCAAACTAGGAGTGAACATGGTACTGTAAGACCTTATGGTAAGAATATTAGCATTGAGGCTAATACACCAATGAGCAGCGATGGATGGTGACTAGCAATGAAATCCGAAATGAGCGTTTCGTCCTATTTGGAACTCACCAACTGGGTGTGCCTGCATCCCATATTTGTTGTTCATTCCGACGTTCGAACCCAGGACCCTTCGCTCCAAACGTCATCGCGTTATCAATTTAGCTACTCAGTCCAGATACCACTACCTTATGCAACGAGTTGAAGTTTAATTCAGTTTTTGTATTGGTTATTTTAATCTTCCTAATTATGTCTAAGAATGAGATTGATCAACTTCTTATTGGCATATGCTCATCCTGTTCGGATTGCCTCAATTTTGCCTTGGGTCACAGGTAGATACATCCAAGTAACGAGTCGCAAATAGGACAAAACGAGCATCTTGAATTCCACTGCTTATAATACTAGTGACTTAATGCAATCCGAACAGGACATATATATCTCAATAAGAGACTGATCAATTGCAGTCCTAAATATCAATGGGAACATTTCAACAACCAATTCAAAAACGAACGAACATATCAATACTCAAAATAAACATGTCAAATACAGAACAATTAGTTATTGATATAATTTAGCCTTTTAAATGATAATGATTGACATATATCTTATGTAATTGATTCACCTTTTCTTAACAATACGTTGTTCATAGAATATCTAGAAATCAAAGAAAATTTAATAATCTACCTCATATTGTAAGTTAATTACGATAAAATGAAAAGAAGAAAAAAACAATTTGGTTGAAATATAATTTTGACTTAGTAACTAAAAAAAAGTGATGCATTTCATTATTTTGTAAACATTAACAATAGAATAAATTGAATAATATAGAATTCAATGAATCAAGTTAACCAATGGATAGTAAATAATAATATGATACAATTGATTTTGGTTCATCAGTATTAAATCAAGTATCGATTAATTTAGTATTAAACGTTCATTGATTCAATAATATTCGTTACATTTATATGTTTTAATCATGAATTCAATGAGATTAGTTTTTGACTTTTACATGATCTTAACCAATGAAATTACTACAATCTCCACAAAACCCATCTGACATTAATCAACAAATGCACACTGGTGACTGGCTTCAAGAGGTATATCTTGGAGTTCTAGTGAGAAGCAATGACCAGTGGAGTTCAACCAAGCCTGTTGTGAGATAGTAACTCACTGAAGACAATGGTGAATGTGTCACTCAACTTCGTGGATTAGTTGAAGTTAGACATTATCACCGTTAGACGCCAGCCATCTCAGTAGTCTGGTGGTTAATTGCTCGCGCGCGAAACCAGTAGGTCCTGGGTTTTAATCTCGCAGGGGGCGAGGTCGTGGATGCGCACTGCTGAAGAGTCTCACAATAGGACGAAACGGCCGTTCAGTGCTTCCAGGTTTTCCAGGGTGGTCTAGCTTCAACTGACTCATGATCTGATTTTACATAAATGTCTACTCAAAAATGTAATATTCACTTGATTGAAAGTTATTGCATGATCAAAAATTGCTAACTGTTTTTTGTTGAGTTCATAAAATTTCTAAGGATAAAAAAAACAAAAATATAAGGTGAGATTATAATTTATGGACGACCATTGAGACCTTGAGCACGTCCACCTATTAACTAGTGCTAAATGAGGGTTATAAACCAGTATGAGGAATTAGAATTAAGATGGTTAGGGTTAGGAATTAGATTTAATGTTTTCATCAAGAACTAACATCAGCTATAATCCCGAAACTCAATTTAACCAAATGAATTTTGCGCCACAATCCAAAACCTGTTATCTTACATTCGATTGGTTCGTCCTTAAATTATAGTTTCGCCTTTAGTATGAATTAATGTATACCTTTGTATGGACAAATGTAAATAGTTTTGATGAATGAAAATATTATAAATCAATTTGGAACGTTTGTTGGCTAAAATAAGAATTATTTAACATAAATAAATTTCAAATTTAATCATGTTAACATTGAATACTCTTTCTATGTTGATCATTTGAATTGGCTTTTGAAAATCCATTCATAGAAGTATTATCTTGACCTTCAAAATTACAGATGACTAATTGACTATCTTGCATAGAGTTCACCCTCGAATTTTCAACATTCTGTATACTTTAAAGATGTTGACGAAATTCTAATGATTGGAATTTTAACAATTATTCAGTGAAACTAGGAATTTAGTATACATCACATCACGGAAACTAAAATGTAGTTCTAGAATCGCTTGTATGATGTTGACAGAATTTCAACTAATCTTTATTAGAATGTATGAATCTTGTGCAGAATGTCTCGATACTTCCATTTTTCAGAAACTTTCATAGAATAGATAAATTTGTGGCTAGTAGGGATAGCCAGGACTCGCGTTTCGACCGAATCGGGTTAGGTGCACGTACATCCAGTGTCGATATTAACATCATGAATTGAACCTAGCACCCTTAGCTTCAAACGCCCAACACGT